AATAAAACATTAATCATAGATGTTGAACTACCCATTTTAATTATTTGAAAGAAATTATTTTTTTAACTTATAGTTTTGCACACTCTAACCTTAAATTCTGGCTGCGCCGCTGGGTGGACTCACTTCTGAGTTGAAGCGGGATACGCCCTTCCGTGCCTTTTCCTTGATCAATGGACTCAGTGGCAGAGCTAGCGGAGGGCATGGAACCCAGTAAATGCACTTCCTCTTGCTCGGTGCCAGAGCTAGGGGAGGGCATGAGCCCCGATAAAAGCACTTTCTCTTGATCGGTGAACTCAGTGGCGGAGCTAGGGGAGGCCATGGGCCCCGGTAAATGCATTTCCTCTTTATCAGTGGACTCAGTGGCAGAGCTAAGGGAGATGCTGGGCATAAAATATTAGAAAAAAAAGTTAAGTTTACTTATAAAATAAAAAATATATAGTACATATGTTAATTATGAGGTTAAAAAAAAAAAAGCAAATCTAAACTTAATTGTCAATTATATTGTAGTTTAATTACCTACTAAATGCATTATTTCATTTTTTCAATTCAACGTATAACTCTACCGTTAAAACACCTTTTATAGTAATAGACTTTTAATTGCTTTGATTGTGACGTTCTTCAGCAATTACTTATTATTGTAATGGTTAATCGTTTTGGATTTGGACTTTTAATTACTTATCATTTAATTTTTAATTTTCTTAAATGTAATTGTTAATTAATTATACTGTCTGATTTCTAATGTTTAATTGAATCATGGTTAATTTCAAGTTATATTAATCATCTTTTTGTCTAGTTCTGTACCTATTCTATGATTATTTGTTAACTTTGCCATCAAATATTTAACCTTGCGGTTTAAGTTTTATATTTATTTTTATGTTAATCCCATATAAGGCAAATCTAGATTTGTATACTTAATTTAATTTGATTTATTTTATTTTATTTTATTTTATAATTTAATTTATTTCCACAAATTACCCTTATTTCTAAAAAGGATTTAACGAATTAATTTGTGATTTTTTTTCTATTTACTATTTTATTTGTTATTATTCTTTTTTTTTATTTTAAAATTTTAGAATTTGACTATTTTACATATTAAATTATAGGACTTAAGTAATTTCAGTAGAAGAACTAAATTTAATTTCATCTTTTTCCCCTTTATCATCACTTTTTTATCTATGTTATATTTTGTCATTGTTGTATTTTGTTTTCCTTTGTTTTCCATTGCTTTTAGAATATTTTTTATTTGTAATTTATATATTATTTTAATAATAAAAAATTAATCATAGATCGAACTACCCTTTTTAATTATTTAAAAGAAATTATAACTTTCAATTTATAGTTTTGCACGCTCTAACCTTAAATGCTGGCTACGCCGCTGGGTGGACAGACTTTCTTCAGAGACGATGTCGAAGGAATTTAAGTTGTCGAGGCCTCGCAGTCGCATGTCTTGAAGAGAAGGTTGACCTTTCAACTGATGGCAATGTTCGATTTTCAGCTCTTGAAGAGAATGGAGGTTTTCCAACCACTGCGGCAGATCTTCTAGGCTACCAAACCTCGATATGTTCAATTTCTTGAGGGCAGTGAGATGTTGCAACTCATCTGGCAAGTAATTTAGTTTATCCCATCCTTCCAAACTCAAAGATTCAAGAGAGGCATGGAGGTCATGAATGGAAGAGAGCCCAGGAAATTCCTCCAAATTCGACCAGAAAGGACCCATTCGCAACTCCTTCAAGTTGGTGAGGCCACCAAGCCACTCATGTGAAATGTCTCTTACCATATTCATTCCACAAATGTAAAGAACCTGGAGACTAGGCAACAGTCCAAGACTAGGAATACACATGCACTCACTGCAAGAAGATAATTCCAGCCTCACCAGGTTGTCCAGCAGAGAAGAAGCACTGGAGTCCTCGACACCATTCATCCAAGACGGGAAGTTTTTTCCCATATAATTACTAATTCTTAAACTTTTCAAATTTGAGTGAGGTTGGAGACCTTCTAGAACCTCCTCATCATTGATGTTTGTAGCTCTTCTCCCATTCTCCCATACAAATTTCAAATCATATAATTCTGTCTTTTCATTTAGTCTTGCTCCAGTGGCTTTTGATTTGGATGTCACATGTTCAAGATTATGAATCTCCAGTTTCCCCTTAAGTTGGCTTAAGCCTCCAAGTTCTTCAATTGTAAAGCCCTCATCTGTTCCCACAAAAAATGATGGCAAGCTTTGAAGGGAAGTTAAGCGCCCAATCTGCTTGGGTAGAAGCTTCTTATTGTCGACATAAAGATGCCTCAAACTAACTAGTTGGCTTGTATCATCAGGAAGCTTTTGAAGATGACTGCACTGCATAACTTTTAAAGTCTGCAACAAGTAGAGCTCGGAGAAAGATCCTGGTAATGTTTCAATTTTACTTTCTGCTATTTCAAGGTATTTTAATTGTTTCAATTTCCTGAGAGAAGCAAGCAATACTTCTGTTTTAGCTCTGACTAATTTTAAAGATCGCAAGCTCTTCAGATCTGACTCCATGTTAATGGTAAATTCACCCTCCAAAAACAAAGAATGCAACCTCTGAGAAATACCTGTAGGAATGGGTGGATGCGCTAACCCGTCATACTTGATTCTCAAATTGCGAATAGTAGAAGTCTCATCAATATTGGAACCATTCTCCCAAATCAAAGTTTCACCTTTTGAAACAGCCAGAGCAAGATCATGAACCATATCACGCATTTTGCAAGATTCAACATTGCCACAAGCATCCCTTCTCACATCTTGGAATAAGGAATTGGATACCAACTCATTAAAGTACACATTTCCAATATCCTCTGTTGTCATAGGGCTTTCATAAGATATTTGTTGAAGAAATCCTCCGGCCATCCATAGCTGAATTAAATTATCTTTTCTAATATCAAAACCTTTCGGAAAGATTGAACAATAAGAAAAGCATTTTTTCAAAGTTGAAGGCATACAATTGAAGAAGCTCATTTTTAATACAGATAAAACTGTATTGTTTGTACACTCAAATTGATTGCCCCATGTTCCTCCGATAGCAGATGCAACCGATGGCAAGCCACCACATTGTTTTGCAACCAATGGCAAGCCACCACATTGTTTTGCAACCAATGGCAACCAATCCTTTGAAGATATCAAAGCATTTGCAGATGATCTGAGAACTACCTTCTCAATTATCCCCAAACATTCATCATCTGATAGACTCTGCAAATCATACCTACAAATAGGAAACTGTTTCTCTAGCACAGATGCTACACTTTCACAACGGGTTGTTAGGACAGTAGAGTTCCCATTGGTTTTCACAATTTTTGAAAAACTAGAGGCAAAAACACTCCAGTTGTGAGGATCTCTTTCCCGTACATCATCAAGAATGAGAAGAAAAGTTTTGTTTTCTAGTTGGTGGCCTAGATCATGAAGCAGTGCATCAGTTGTATTATTATTATTTTTTTTTGAGGAAAAATCAGTTGTATTATTTTTATTTGGATGGACATCACAACATTCTAACAGCTCACCCAAAATTCTTTGATGATCAAAATCCTCAGATACACACACCCAAGCTACTACATCATAGAGCTTTTCTTCCTTTGCCTTCATATAAACTGATCCTGCTACTGTTGTCTTTCCAACGCCCGGCATACCTACTATTGAAATGCCAGAGATTGGATGTTGAGTCTTTTGGTAATTCAGCAAGTTGACAATTTTTGAGACATCATCCTCCCTTCCAACAACTTTTGACGAATCAAGAAGGCGGACCATCTGATAATATGGCCCAGCAGTTGCACTGTTTTGCCCTCCAACTTGGATAATCAGATTAATAAATGGTACGACCTTTCTAATTTCAGCTAAAGAATAATTAATCAGCTTAAATTTTTTAGCCATAGAAAAGAAAGCGTGCACCTGTTTCAGCCTCTGGATTGAAGTCTGAACTTCCTTCTGAAGAACAAGTATACCGTAATCACACTTATCAAGCAAATCCACCGCATCATAAACAGCATCGTTGAGCTTCTGCAACCAAAGCCTGATGGCCGCATCACTTTCTTGCCTCTGCTCGGCGCCTCGTGCAACATCTTGAATTTCAGTTAGCGACTGAGCAAGACCTGCCAACTGCTTCTGCAGAACAGGGGCAAAGCTGACCTGTGCAGCAATTGAAGTTGCTTTGGAAAGTGCCTCAGGCATAAGAGGAGTGATGAGGATGAGGCCGGCATCAGCCATATTATGCAATCACAATTGAATTCTGAGAGAGAGATTCTAGGGCTGTGAATTGTGAGAGGTATTGAGGGCAGCAGGTAGAAGTAGGACTTGAAGGTTGCGTCAATTTAGGGGAAATGAAATGTAAATGAAGATGCAATAATTTGGCAGGCATTTCATTTGGGTGAGATTATTGACACAGCTTGATAGTTTTTTTTTTTTTTCTGGGTACAGCTCAGCTTAATGTGTTAATGCACAGCATTTTGTCTTGTTTGACTATTTTACCCCTATTTGACTTTTTTATTTTTTTGTCCCTTTCCATGAAAAATTGAAAATAGGAAAAAAAAAAATAAAATCGAGATCTGGAAACGAAAACGTTGTGCTTCCTCTCCGTTTTCGTTTCCTTCCCCTCCGTAATTTGATAAAATGCTAATTTAGCTGCAGTTTGGAGACTAAATATTTAGTTAATTGCATTTTGTTTATGTTTTTCCTATTAAAGACTACTGTAATATCAGTTTGGTATGAAATGAGATTAATCAAATTTATTCCTTTAACTTTCTCTTTTATGTATATTCTTATTTTCCTCCTTTCTTCCTTCCAATTCTCCATTCTATTTCCCTTTCCATTCCATTTAATTTCTGTATCTTATCATTTGGTATCAGAACAGACAATCCCTCGGACCTGTTGCAATATGGCTGAGAATTTTGCACAACAATTTCCGGAGTTTCGCCTGAAGTATGACGCTCATCAATTGGCAATATTTTTTTCCTTTTCATAAGGGTAATGGTTAGAAAGTTAGTATAAATTAATTGTTAGCAACTAGGGATTCGATTCCAGATCAGGTGAACATTCCACCCCCTCAAATGAGGCGCGTGGCCATCGGGTCATTTTTTGGTGGAGTTCACGACGGCGGTAGAGTTCGAAACTCCGATCACCTCACCTAAACACTTAAGGTTTGGAGTCGAACCATTAAACTTAAAGGTCCGGTTTTATCAATTGGCAATATGATAGAGAGCAATGCTAGGGGCACTCACCTCCTGCACTCTCCGGCCAACACTGTCACTTTTATTGGGCCACGTTATTTTGGTTGGTCAGAGGTTGCCCTTCATTGCCAAAACAAGCTTACGTGGCCTAATGAAAGGGGAAGTGTTTGCCGGAGAGTGCAAGAGGCGAGTGCCCCTAGCACTGCTCCTATGATAGAAATGGGATGAGGCTAGGGTGACCATTTTTCAAGCACTTGGTGCCACGACCGGAAAGTCTTTTATTGGCATCCGGGCAAATTGAATCGATTTAAAAATATTATTAATTAATTAAATTAATTTAATTTTAAAAATATTAAAATTTGATTTAAGTTATACTATAAATACTGTAATAGTAATATCTAATTTTTTTTTCTTATAAACAATATCTAATTTATTTGCACCTAACCTTATAAATTATTTGGTTAAAAATGCATATCCCAACTTTATAAGTTGGATATAAACCCTTTTCTTTTTTTCAAAAATTATGTTAATTTAAAAAATATTTCTATTTTTTTCCTAACAATTTGTCCTGAGACGGGATCAAACCCATAAAAAAAAAAAAAGAGGTGCACCTTCCACAAGGCCGAAGTGTCAGGTGTAATATATCTAATTTATTTAAAATTTCTACCAATAAGTATAATCATGAAAGCAATTTTGGATTCTTTTGAACGAATTACAATTTTAAAGAAAAAATTTTGGACTGTTAGTTGCACGCACTCAACATCAATGCATTCGAAAAATAAGTCACCAGGATCCAACGAATACACAAACACGTTAAGCCACGCATAAAGGTTTCAACTTTCAATCATGTTGGTTTTTCTTTTGGTAAAAATCCTTATTTTTAACTTTATTTTTTTTATTTAAAAATATTAATTTTATCATTTTCTAAATAAAAATGTCAATTTTAATATTTTTCTATTTAAAAATATCAATTTTTAACTTTTTCTATTTAAAGATGTTAACTTTTTAACTTTTTCTATTTAAGAATTAATCGGTGGTGATGCTGATGTCAACTAACAAATTTTCTTAGGTTAAATATCTGAATTGGTTCTTCAATTTTTATTTTTGAACCAATTCATCTTTAAACTTTAGAAAGTACCAAAAACGTCCTTCAACTTCAATTTTCAATTTCGTCTTTTCATCAGTTAAATGTTAATGTAGCTAATTTTTTCGCTAAGTGATTGACTATTTTACATTTTCAATATTAGGTGAAAAATTCATCATGTAAAAAATGATTATATGGATTTTTTTAATTTTAAATAATTTAAAAACTACTTTAATTCTTAATTTTACTTTATTTATATTTAAAAATTAAAACAATTAATATATTTTTTCATTTAATTAGTCGCACCTACCATTTAATAAAATTAAATAAAAGTTAATTAATTCTTCCATGAATTAAGAAATAATTTTATTAATTGAAAATTGAAGTTGAAGGACGTTTTCAATACTTTTTGAAGTTTAAGGATGAATTGGTTAAAAAATTAAAGTTGAGGGACCAATTCAGATGTTTAACCTGAAAAAATATGTTAGCTGAAGTCAACATCACCACCAATTAATCCTTAAATAGAAAAAGTTGAAAGTTATCATCTTTAAATAGAAAAAAATTAAAAATTGAAAATTGACATCTTTCTTTAAAAAATGACAAAGTTAACATCTTTAAATAAAAAAAAATAAAGTTGAGATCCTTATTTACATATTTACTTTAAATTTAAGGGTTTAAGAAGAGATTTTACCTTTTGTCTTTGCTTTACCTTTTGTCTTTGCTTCCCTTCCGCGTGAAAGGACTGCCAACTCCAGAAGTCTTTGGCCTTTAAATTGAGAAAAAGACATCTCAGAAAACGTTACTTCAAAAGAGGACCAACTAATAAAATGATTGCTTCTATTATAAAAGAAAGAATGAAGAAGATTAAATTATATAATGAATGATTTGATTTTTTTTTTTTGTATAAATCACCAAGTATTTGGAAGTTTATTGAGCCATCGATTAGTCCGGATTTAAGTAGGGCAGGACTTAATGGGTGACAAAACTCTCTCTCATGAGTTTTAACGGAGTTGCATTTTCAAGATTTGAAACTAAAATCTCTGATTAAACAGAAAAAGTCACGTGCCAACTCATCCATCCACTCATGGGTATAATGAATGATTTGATTGTAAAAGAAAATAATATCAAGTTTTCCTTTTTTTTTTTTGTTTTTTAACAAGGTATAATGGGAACTTTAACTCAATCTTAAGAAGGGAAGGAACTGCATCTTTGCACGTTAACAAGAGTCACTTAACAGATCAGGTGCAAATCATATGAAGTTATTATAATGATTGATCAATTAAAAAGAAATTAATTTATTATTTAATTAAATTTAAAATTTTGATA